TTTCAATATGGAGAATAACTTGGTTTTCTGCAGTAACATTAACGGCTTACTGGCGGCTTTAAATATAAACTATAACCCAGAAGAATGGAGATTGTTTATAGACAGTTCAACATTGAGTTTAAAGGCAGTGTTATTGCATATTGGAAATATTTTACCATCTCTTCCTGTAGGGTATGCAGTTCACATGAAAGAATCATATGGCAATATGAAGTACCTATTGACATGCATAAAATACGATGAGCACCAATGGCATATTTGTGGCGATTTGAAAGTTGTTGCACTTTTACTTGGGCTGCAGCTAGGCTACACAAAGTTTTGCTGTTTTTTGTGTGAATGGGACAGTCGGGCAAAGGCACTTCATTACACCAGACAAAACTGGCCTGTTCGTCAATTCCTAGAGCCAGGTCAAAAAAATGTACAGCATATGTTAGTAGATTCGAAAAAAAATTTATTACCACCACTGCATATCAAGTTGGGCCTAATGAAAAACTTTGTCAAGGCATTAGATAGAGATGGGTCAGCTTTTCAATACCTGCGTCAGAAATTTCCAAGACTAAGTGAGGCAAAGGTTAAAGAAGGTATTTTTGTTGGGCCACAGATTCGAAATATTTTGAAGGATACACAGTTTGAAAATACTTTAACAGGTATTGAAAAAACTGCTTGGAATGATTTCCGTCTGGTGGTCACTAATTTCTTGGGAAATAGAAAAGCTGACAACTATAAAACCCTTGTCAAAAATATGCTGTCATCGTATCAAAAGATAGGCTGTAATATGTCTCTTAAGATACATTTTCTACACTCACACCTGGACTTTTTTCCTGACAATTGCGGAGCCGTAAGTGATGAGCACGGCGAACGTTTTTATCAGGATATTTCAACAATGGAAAAAAGGTACCAGGGAAAGTGGAATCCTTCCATGCTTGCAGACTACTGTTGGACTCTTGGTAGAGATGCTCCAGAAACGATCCATAAAAGAACAGCAAAAAGACAGCGCATATAGTGATTCTTATAAGTATATGAATCTTGTAACTTTTTTTAATATATCCTTAAAAATAAAAAGTTTTTTTTCTAAACCGCAACTAATTTTTTTATTTCATTGTCATTTTTGGATTCAGCGCCCCAAAATTAACAAAGAAGTGCACTTTTCCCACAAGATACAATTAAAAAACTAAGATTTGTTGTCCAGTGAATAGGATAAATTCTGGAAGTTCCACTGAGGTTAAAAAATGAACAGCCCCAAATATCGTTTAGCCACCCCCTGGACGAAATCCTGAATCCGCCCTTGCTCCAATCACTGCAACCTTCGAAAACTGTAAGACGCCAAAGGATGTTCCTATAAGGACAGCAGGTCTTTCGTATGAAACATTAAAATGTCATTAAAAATCGGTATAATGTGGGTGTAATAGTTCCGTTCCCCACAAGTAAGACAGAAGCAATCTAACTGCAGGGTTGGGTGCGTTTGTGAATCACTTGATAATGCAATACCGCACACAGTAATGGAATGGAACTTTCTTTTCAGAACGCCTAAATTATTACCGATGACAGCCCACTAATTTCTAACCAAAATTTTTTGCAACCATGTTTTATTATAAGAAACGCCACGTGGTAGTCTATTTAGCGTGTAAGATATACAGGGTGTAAACATTATGGTAATCATTATTGAAATGGGTAATAGGGAGAGTCAAAAAGTTAATATGACCCAGGGTCCAAAAGTCGATACATTTTTGTCTAAATGGCTTTATAGTTTACAACTTTAAGTGATCCATATCGACCACAATCTTACTAATTCTTATAATCCAATCTAAAACGTTTTTAAATTGAGTAATTAACAAATAAATGGCATTAAGTTTTTCTAAGTTAAGCCAAAATTTGTAGTCAGTAAGTAAGTAAGTTTCACTAAATTAAATATTTAAAACACACATGACAACAGCGCGTCGGTCATTCATCACTCTTATCGAACCGACAATCGATCGCAAACGGTAACAGTGGTTAGTTATTGTTCGCGTACGTGGTCGTGTTGATTCGAATCAAGAGTTCGCCGACATGTTGTTAGTTTACGGTGTACTAATCTTCGTGGAGAATACTTCGAAAAACAATAAAGTCATTTAAAACTACCTACCGTGTTGTGTTATTTCCATATGCAAAACTTAAAAGACATCCCTCGTATACAGATAACATAGCTATGGTAAGATGTAAAGGAAAACTCTCGCAACCTATCAAGTATGAAACTGGGATTAGACAAGGAGATTCGCTGAGCCCACTAATATTTAATCTGATAATGGATGAAATCATAAAGAAAGTTAAAAAAAGAAGAGGATATAGAAATCAAAATGCAAATAATATGCTACGCCGACGACGCCATAATAATAGCCGAAAATAAAGATGACCTACAAAGATTAATTAAAGAATTCGAAGATATGGCGCTCATATACAACATGGTGATTTCAACAGAGAAAACTAAATCGATAGTGATATCAGCGGAACCAAGACGATGTAAACTGGTCGTAAATAACAAAATGATAGAACAAGTGATGGAAACGGAATAATTGGGAATCAAACTGTCAAGTTATGGAAAAGTGGAAGAAGTACAAAAGCAAGTGAACATGGCGAACAGAGCGGCAGGATCTCTCAACAATACAATCTGGAGAAACAAATACCTCACAACAAAAACGAACACTAGGATATATACATGAACAATAAGACCGATAATGACGTACACAGCGGATACGGCGAAAACACACAGATTATTGGAAACAGCAGAAATGAAAGTCTTGCGAAAAATAACAAACCAAACTCTAAGAGACAGCGTAAGAAGTGAGGAAATACGAGCGATATAGAGGAAATAAACCTGTGGACCAAAAGAAGAAAAATAGAATGGAATCAACACATAGAAAGAATTACAGAAAATAGAACAGTACAAATAGCAAATAGACATATCGCCAAATGGAAGAAGATCGATGGAACGACCGAGGAAAAGATGATCAGACAATAATAATAATAATAATAATAATATTTATTCACTCAATGTACAAAGATAACAAAAAATATGAGTAAATAAATATAAAATCAAAACAGGCCCAATAGAAGGCATCGCCTGTACATGGACCAATAAATTTAAGTTGAAACTGTAGAATGTAAATGACAAAAAAGGACAAAAATTAGCTACAGTAGATTATGTATTTAGTTGATGTTCGTATTTATGAGTTTATGAATTTCAGTCCTAGATGTAGAATGTAGCCACTTTTTTAAATTTCTTTTGAAACAATTTCCGAAACGTAAATCTTTTAAGTCTTTAGGTATAATTTCATAAAATTTAGGCGCTAAATAGAGATATGATCGCTGCATTATAGATTTATGCGGTTGAGGAACTACTGTGCCACGAATTTTGTACCTGGTATAATGATTATGATTAATTTTTTGGTCGGTGTTTACAAATTTATGGTAGTGAGTGATACTGTGTAAGAAATAAAGCTGTCTTATATCATACATTCGAACATCTGCGTATAATTTTTCAGTGGGATAAAGTTTCGGTTTTTTAAATATCATTTCTAGAATACTTTTTTGAAAAACATCTAAATTATAGATATGTGAGGAACATGCAGCTCCCCATGCTAATATACCATATGTGAGATGAGGCTCAATCAGTGCATGGTATAATGTTCGAAGATATTTTTCTGTCAATATATTCCCAAGGTATTTAATTTTGTAGGATACAAATCTAACTTTCTTTAAAATATAATTGACATGGATGTCCCATCGTAAGTGTAAGTATTTTATATTGGGCACTCTATTAATTTGCATTTTTGATCATTAACATTGAAGGAGAAATTTGTGTAATTTGGCAGATGTCTAGCATAAGATCCAAATGGTAAAAAATGTGTTTTAGAGTAGTTAATGCTTAATTTTCTACTGTTAAACCACCGAATAATTTTGATAAAATCATTTTCAATTACATTTTTCAGATCAGACCAGTCAGTGCCTTCATATAATATTGCAGTATCATCTGCAAAACTAGTTATTTTGCCAACACAATTAATTTGGAAAATAAAATAAAATAAACATCAATAGAGGCTAAAAACCGAAGTAAAACAGGCAGGAGCCTATTAATAAAGTAGGAAGAAAAAAAGAATACATCCGATTCGTTATTTCCAACGTTACAGACTAATACAAATATCTCACTTGCTGATCAGCTGTTCACCTCGTTAGACGTCAAAACATAATGGATCCTCGTAAAATATGGTTTAAAGCATGAAGAAACTACGGCAAGACTGTTCGTGCTGTTAAAACGACCCCCAAAATTGACGCCTGGAATACCAGTGGTGCTTTGACAGGGTTGCCATGTTAGAGGGCTTTTCCCCAAATTTGCGATATTCTGCGGGAAATCACATGTTCCGCGGGTAGGAAGCGTCCCTCCGCTCTTTTAACCAGACCTACACCTTTCCATTAATTAACTGTGATGTGAGAGGTATTTTTTGAAAAATGGCAGTTTTGAGTATTTTTTGTTCTGGGGAAGTTCTGTCCGACCTATCTGGCAACGCTACCCTCTGGCAGATCCGCCATATGATCGCTTTTCTTATAGTCTAAGATCTAATTTTTACTAATGATAATAGTAGAACAGATTACAGCAGGGTTGTCTGGGAAAGTGTTAAAATTGTATATGGTTTACCAGCGAAGTGGACTTTTCTAGCAAGAATATGTCGTTTTCTGTTATTTGCACCAATAAACAATGCGATATTTTGACAAATTCCAAATATATTCAATTAGCTAAATTATAATATAAATCATTTGTTCGAGGTCATGATAACCAGATTATCCAGAACACATTTTAAGTAAACAGAAAAATTTCCTAACTTCTCATATTTGTGACATTCAGTTAAGCTCATATCCGACAGAATCCTTGACATCAAGTTTCTTAACCACGTGTTTTTGTTGTTGTTAATAGAAACTAACGTACGGTATTAATTAGTGGTTTTCTATAGTGTATTATTAAAGAAAATGGGGTTCCTTGTAAGCGATTTTCTGTGATTGTGTAACAAACACGTTCAAGGGGGAATTAATATCAGTCTAGGTAGTCGCGATAAAAAATTTATTAGTGTACACAGATGAGTTAGAACGAGGTTGAGAAAAAATGGGTCGAGATTTTAAAAATGTCGAGCAAAATCCGTTCATAAGTGGGGATTCTCACCATGTAGAAATCGGCAAGAAAAACCCACAGACGAGGTATGTAACATTATTTAATAATTGCCTCAGGAAGATTCGTTTGAGCGAATTAATGCTTGACATCTTGTTAAAAATGATCGGATTACCTTCCGTTATGAACAAATCCAGACGCTTCCGTTATTCTACTACCGTTACTATCTGTCTTGCTGTCACTACGTAGAATGACACTCTGCAATCATCAAGTGACTTCACGATGTAATGCTTTAATGTTTTTAAATAATTTTTAATCTGTTTTTAACTTGTTCTTGTCATATTTTATATAATTTTGACCATTGTACCATCTATCCAGCTCTCACCATGTTACTGGACGTTTCCCTCATCCTATACGTAAACAACAATTAGCAACATCCTCACATACTACTCTCCTGATGATGATGGCAAAGTCCATTGAAAGCTATAGAGAATTAAAAAAGTATAAAGAGTCCTCTTTGCTTAAATTTTGTCGAAGTACCCAACAAAAGGCGGAAGCTTTAATTTTTCACCTAACTGGTCTAAACGACGATGACCACGTCTCAAGATATATATTTCTGACCTGAATATAGCACAAAAAACTGTTTTGAAAGCCATTTTCCATAAGCCAAGATTATATCCAACGAACAACTTATATCAAGAAACAGGGATACTTGATACAAGACAACTTTATTTCTTACATGCGACCACCTTATACCATAAGTATTGTAATAAAAAGAAAAAATCCTATAAACACGAGCATAACACACGATTTCGAATAGGCTCATCTAATATCCAAAGACCACACAAAACATTATTCAAAAAATCATTTAAATTCTTAGCAGCTAAATTATATAATGTAGTACCAAACAAAATAAAAATACTTAATTTTGGAAAAAAATTTAGAAGAAAATTGAAAGACTGGGTTAGTACTGTGCAGCGAATGACTATACATAATTATACAGAAAACTAAAACTACAAAATTCCAATTACATTAATACTTTTTAGATTTAACAATAATTGTTATACACATATATGATTGATTGTTAGTTATTAAGATATAAACCACACACAAGCGATGCCTTCTGTGGTTTTTTCATATTTATTTGCCCATTTTTTGTATTTTGGCGAATAAATATTATTATTATTATTATTGACTTCCCCGGGGAGAAAAGTCAATACAATATGTGCTTTCGCAATGCCCTGCTAGGTGTCGCTAAATATCAGAATTGAGCCATTTCTACTCGTACGAAAAACACCTGATTCTGACATTTCACCACCAAAAATGTCACAACACCCCTGAAATTTAAGTTATGTCAACCGAAGATCATGGTTGATTTTAAACTGCTCCTACATCCTCCTGTAACAGATAAATATTCGCATATCATTAAGAAACACCCTGTATATTTACGCTGCATACTTTGTTCTATTTTACTAATTATACTCCTAAACAAACAATTTCTTGCTACTTATTTTATCACTTGTAATCACCTATTTTATCTTAATTTAATCATGTATATTTTTCTTTTACTTAAGTTAATCTGACCTTTTCCTGTTTCATATCCGCAAAGCAATTTGAATAAAAGCTTTTATTATTATTATAGTACGACAAATTGTTACTACAGGTACCAGACTATTACATAATTCGAAGCATTCACTTTCCCCGGAAGAAAAATCAATACAATATGTGCTTTCGCAATCCCCTGCTAGGTGTCGCTACATATCAGAATTGAGCCATTTCTACTCGTACGAAAAACACCTGATTCTGACATTTCACCACCAAAAATGTTACAACACCACTGAAATTCAAGTTATGTCAACCGAAGATCATGGTTGATTTTAAACTGCTCCTACATCCTCCTGTAACCGACAAAGTGTGCTTTCTAAGGAAAAGGTTTAAAAACGGTATAAATTTTTCGAAGTTACAATCGTGCTGTCTGTCGCAAGATGAAGACGAATTGCTGGAGGAGAACCAAGAGTAAGTAAATAGCTCAATAGCAGTCACCTGCCCTACTACAATCTTCAAAAATATAGAATGATATCAATTTTTTGTAAAATAACGTGGTAGCGGGAAGATTTGAGCAAAAGAAGCTAGATGGACGAGAACCTAGAATTCATGACAGAAATGTCAAAACTCGATTTTTATTCGCAGTCACATTTGTTGTAAACAATCTTTCAAACAAATCAAATCGAGAAAAAATGTTTTTGGTGTGTTTTTTAAATTTTTTTCATAATTCTGAACAAAAATCGTTCTTAGCAACTATTCTCTATTCTTCGAGTTATACATGATCCAAAATCTAAAAATCACCTACTTCAATGGTTAAAAACCATTGGTCTTACTTTATCTAAAATAGTCTAAAAAATATAGCAGAATTGTTCGGGGAAATTGATTTGGTGAAACCGTGGAAATAGGGTTTTCTATTTGTGAAAAATAGGATAAAAATCATTTTTTTCACCAAGTTATTTTACCCCTAAATGGATGAACCTTTGCTCACTTTTTAGCCCTAAAATACTCACAGGTTAAATTTTTGACAAACAAGATCGGACAAAGGATTTTCGAATTATTCCAAAAATAATCATAAAAATCAGATAAGTTACTATTAACCTTGATCACTGCTATTCACACGACACTGAAAATTCTTTTCCCATTATTCGCAAATAAGAATTGAAGCGAAACATTTTTTCCTGGCATGACCCATATTTTCGTATACGAGCCCCTTCCCACTTCAGTTGGCCCACTTGAAGATTTGTATCAAAATATGCCTTTATAAACTAAACATGACGAAACTATTTACTTCTAGAACAATTTATTTTCTCAAACATTTTAGATACAGTCTAGTCGTGAAAAATACATATTTGAAATCACTTAGGCCTATAACTAATAGAACATCTGAACAATGTGCGAATAAATGCGCGAAGTTAACAAAGCATCAATTGAAAGAATACCATTGGGTAACATCACCTTTATTTTTTATTACAGCTGAGATTCTTTGGGACATAGTGTTAACCAAGTTTTGGCAAAAATTTGGTGTAAAACAATCCCATATTGCTTGAAGCTTTTGTCTCAGTTCGGTGATTGTACGAGCAGGATGTTGTCGTAGAACCTTTTCATCTCGTGCCACAAAGTTTCAGTAGGTGACAGATCTGGACTGCTAGAAACCCATTTCAAAAGTGGTACATTATTTTCTATCATCCATTTTATAGCCTTTTTTGAGGTATGGCACGCTGCACCTTCTTGCTGAAACACAAAATCTTTTCCGGATGTCAAACATTCTTCCATCACTGGTAAAAGCGATTCTTCTAAAATTGCCAAATATTTGTTTGTATCCTCATTTTCATCAATAAAATGAAGTTTTCATACTCCTTTTGATGACATACTGCCCCAGACCATAATGGATGCTGGGAATTTCACTTTTCTCTTCAGACAGTCAACATGGAATGCTTCATTTTTTTGCGAATAACCCTACTGCGACTGTCACCAGCACAAACTTCGGGCCTCATCACTCCATTGCATTCCACACCATTGACCATTGTTGAGGTGTCCATTGTTTATGTTCTTTAGCCCATCTAAGCCGATTTTTCTTTTGCAGTGGAGTTAATAGTGGCTTTTCTTTGGCCTATAAACAAGTTGTGCAACTTTAGGGTTTTTACTTCACTTTTTTTATAAGACAACTTACCTTCAAAATGCTAAATCCCAGTTTGTGGGCCTCTCTATGAGTTGTGGACCTGGAAATTCTCCTTCCAATAGCGTCACTCCACAGAGCACTTAATTGTAAATAATTGGCACGCCTCTCTTTCACGATTATTCTTCTTAATGCTCTTCGGTCGGCATTTGTGATATTACTTTTTTTCACATATCGTGGCTTAATATTAACTGAACCAGTTACGTTATATATCTTCTGACAATATTTCTCACACTGTACCGCGATAAGTCTAACAAAGTTGCAATTTCTGAGTTTGATTTCCCAGAATTAAAAAATTTAATTATCATTAACCGAATTTTCTCACTAATAACCTTTCCTCTACCCATTTTGAAAACCTTAACTACCCAAAACTATTTTAAACGTATTCTGACAGCTGTGATTAATAAAAACAATTGTCATGGCTTTTATTTTTCACAGCCACCTATGCGTTATAGATTTATTTTGCATTGAAATGAAAATAGGTTGTATGCTGTAATTGCAACATGTGTGCAAATTTGATTAGGGAGTGATAAAGTTTGTGTTTTCTACTATATAACGGGTGATCTTTTAAGAAGTATAGGATTTGATTTTCAAAAAAAAACACAAAAAATTTGAAAAAAACGATTAAATCTTTATTTGAGTCGATAGAACGGTCGATATAATTTAATGTTTAAAGATTATTTCATATAAATGTTGGCCGCGGCTCCACTTTAGATGGCCCGTGCGCAAGATCCAATTTTGGCACACTCTCTCCAACATATCGGCCGGTATCTCACGAATAAATGCTCCATTATTGGCTTACAGTACGTCAATCGTTGCTGGTTTATCCCTATAGACATTAGCCTTAACATGGCCCCACAAGAAATAGTCCAACGGCGTTAAATCACACGATCTAGGCGGCCAACTCGCCTCTCAATAGGGCCATTGTTTCGTATGCGGTGTGGCATGTGGCACCGTCTTGTTGAAACCACATGTCAGCCAAGTCCAGCTCTTCCATTTTGGGCAAAAAAAGTTTGTTATCATCACACGGTAGCGCTCGCCATTCACAGTTACGTTGCGCCCATTGTCGTCTTTGAAGAAGTACGATGATGCCACCGGCCCATAATCCACACCATACAATGATTTTTTCGGGATGCATTGGTAGCTCTTGCAATGCTTCTGGCTGGTCTTCACTCCAGATGCGGCAATTTTGCTTGTTAACGTACCCATTCAACGATAAATGAGCTTCGTCGCTGAACACAATTTTTCGATAAAAATGTGGATCTTCCTCCAACTTTGCCAGCGCCCATTCACCAAATTGGAAACGTTGTGGGAGGTCGTGTGGCTTCAATTCTTGCACCAGCTGTATCTTATAAGGTTTTACACCCA